GAGAAGTTTTTTTTTTCAACACATTTCTAAACATAATAATTTTAATAACTCATTTTTAATAACTGATTTATTTTATCTTTGCCATGATGACAGTAATTAATTTTTTACTAGATATTTTTCAAGACACTAGGCTAATTAGATTAACTATAGGCAGGTTAGGGTAATTAGGTAAGTTTTTGTATAATGATGGTTTGTGCTGTAGTCTATCGGGAAAAATATTTTTTCTAAAGGGGCTAATAATATTGTCCTTATAATGGTGTTTAAAAATTAAAAACTGCTTTTATCTAAGCTGAAATAAAGCAAATAAGACTTTCTCCAGAAGTAAAAGTATTATCAGACATACTGTGAAAATTCCCTTGCTCTGTCTAACATCATTTGGAAAATATTTAAAAAAAAAATAAAAAAATTCAAAGGGGGGCTAATAATTCTAACTTCAACTGTATATATACACACTACTGGTCAAAAGTTTGAGGACAGTGGGATTTTAAAAATGTTAAGAAAATAAGCTTCTCCCGCTCACCAAGGCTGCCTTTATTTCATCAAAACTACAGTACAAATTGTGAAATGTTATTGCACTATAAAACAACTGTTGAAAAGTAGTTTATAATTTAATGAAATCATTTATTCCAGTGATTTTATTGATGAATTCTCAGCTTCATTACTCCAGTCTTTATAGCCACATGATCCTTCAGAAATCACTCTACTATTAATTATTATTGTTATTATTACCAATATTCATGTAACAGTAATAAAAGCAGTAATGACGGGAGTAGGCATGGGCCGGTATAAGATTCTGACGGTATGATAACCTTGGTTAAAAATATCACAGTTTCACGGTATCATGGTATTGTGCTCACTGCTCTAAAATATATTCTTTTTAAATGTCTGGGTAAAAAACTAAAACTTTTTCCCCTTTGAAAACAATGTATTTTATTTTTTAAAGATTTATAATTGACTGGAGCATTAAACATGTCAGGCTAAATAATTCAAAAGATTATTTGACTTCTGCCGTCTTCAATTGTTTCAAAAACACAGATTTACACACAATATAAAATGGCAATCTTTGGATGTATTTTCTGCTGGAGATCCTGTTGTCCTAAAAACAAACAAAAAATGTAAATAAAAAATCATACACATACCTCAGGAACTGTTTTACAGAAAATGTTGGAGGTTTTAAAACCTTGACTTTTCCAAACCGTGGTATACCTTGAAAACGGTTATCGTCCCATGCCTAGAATTTCATTTGAAACTACATACAATAAGTAAGTAATAAAATAAATAATAGATTAATAATAAATTGAGTAAATAAATATTTAACATTTTAAGACTTTTTTACATGTAATAAATGCTGCCTTGATGAACAGAATAACTTTATTAATTTATAAAATAAAACTAATCATTTAAAAAAAAAAAAAAAAATGACCTAAAACTTTGATCGGTAGTGTATATGTTGGAAACAGATTTAAAAGTTTGCCCATAAAGAAATCTGACATATGGTAGTATATGCAAATTACATATGACATACAAGTTCATGTTTGAAATTCATATATATAAATATGTGTAATAACACATATATACTGTATACACCATAAATAAATAACATACAGTATATACAGTATAAAATGGTATTTTACAAATATAATTTTAAACCAGTGGAATTCAAAATATGTACATATATGTTCAAATATATTAGCTATCATTTCATCAAATATATTAGCTATCATGTCATCCTTTTCTATATATATGAGCATATATGTTCATCAATGGTCATATATTAGATTCATGCATGGGTAAAGTTAAGGAAAGCAATTAAGTAAATTTTAATTATTGCATTAAGGCAAAAATAAGTAGTTTTAAATGTGATTTATGAATCTAAATATATAAATTATAGATACATTTAGATTTAAAATAATAATAACAATAATGTTACACTTAAAAAAAGCTGTGGTTGCTTTAAATTTGACTCGAAATTGAATTAAAATGACATTAAATGAACTTAAAAGAGATTGTACGATTTAAACATATTAGTTAAAACAAGGTTTATGTATATTAATAACTTAAATGACCACAAAAGCATAAGTTACCATGACTTATTGGTCATATAATGTTTTGACAGTGTCTATATGTTTTATATAAAATAAGAAAATTTCTAAAATGTTTAAAGTGGATCCGCTTTTCTGAATAATAGTTTTATTAAAATTCAATAAATAACTAATGCTCTTCATGAAATAAGTTATCAAGTAAAACTGATGTAATATTACCACAGTAAATGGCTTGTTGTATTACAGCGATCTACACACTCGATAGTTAAGACCAACGTAGTCTGTGCTCACTAACAAAAGCATTAAAAACACACTCATTATGTGTGTTTAACAGAGTTTGATGGTATTCAGGGACATTTATCTTTCTTAAAGGGATAGTTCACCCTAAAATAAAAATGTACTGACTATTTGCTCTCCCTTGAGTGGTTTCAAACATTTGGGAGTTTCCTTTTTCTGTCAAAAACAGAAAAGAAGATATTTTGAAGAAAGCTGAATATGTGTAACCATTGACTTCCATAGTATTTGTTTTTTTCTACTATGATTACAGATTTTCAGCTTTAAAATATCCTTTTTTGTGTTTGACAAAAAGGGGAAACTCGCAAATGTTTGAAACCACTCAAGGGAGAGCAAATAGTCAGTGAATTTTCATTTTTGGGTGAACTATCCCTGTAAGAAAGATAAATGTCCATTAATATCTTATTTTTAAGTATATTTAATATATACACTCATAAAGGTTGAAACAAGTCAAGAGTGAGTAAATGATAGTCGAATTGGAATGTTTGAGTGAACTTTCCCTTTAACACTATATAATGTAGGCAATTGGCATGTACATATTGTTCTTAAATGTTTTGTGCACATTGATTCCTCAGTTATGCTGGACTCCTTCATCTCCCTCGTGCCCGCTCTGCTTTCCCAGTGTTCAGACTACCTGTTCAGGGCGTAGAGATTGTACAGTAGTCTGCACATTGGTTAGGCTGAGTGAGGGCTGCACACACTCCATCATCGTCATCTCATCATTGTAGTCTAACCATGGATATCTGCATGCCTTCATGTGCTAAGTAACGTCTGTAAATGTGTGTTAGGGAAGAAGGTTAAGTGGATAATTCTGACACACTCCAAGGAGACATTGAGGAACTTTTAAAGCAGTTACACAACATAATTATTTTCTTTGTTTGCTAAATTAATAAATACAGATATTAAAATGCTTTAAAAACTATTAATTAATTAATAAATATAGGTACATATATACTTTATTATTTTTAATATACATAATTATATTACTGAAATGTCTATCTAAAATAATTAAGCAACTAAAATAAATGTTATTTTCTTATGTTTATTAATATTTATGTATTGTGTTTATTATTTAAAAGGATATAGCTTATATTTATTTATTTAATCAATTTAAAGTAGAGCAAACATGGAGAAAGAAAGAAAGAAAGAAAGAAAGAAAGAAAGAAAGAAAGAAAGAAAGAAAGAAAGAAAGAAAGAAAGAAAGAAAGAAAGAAAGAAAACAAAAAACAAAAAATAATGAAAGAAAGAAAAAACAAACAAATAAAAAACATAAGGAGAAAAAGAATAAAGGAAACAAACATTAAAAAATATAACAAAAATAATGAAAGAAAGAAAAAGTAAGAAGCAAACAAACAAAAATAATAAGAAAAAAGAATAAAAGTAACAAACATTCAAACAAAAATAGGGAGAAAAACAATCAAATAAATTAACATACAAAAAACTATAAAAATAATGAAAGAAAGAAAAAAGTAAGAAATAAACAAACAAAAATAAGGAGAAAAAAGAATAAAATAAAGAAATAAACAAACAAACAAACAAACAAATAATCAAAAATAAGGAAAGAAACAAAGAAAAGGAAGAAGAAAGAAAGAAAAAATTAAAAGGAAAAAAACAAACAAACAAAAATAGGGAGAAAAAGAAAAAAGAATAAAAGAAACAAACAAACAAAAACAAAAATAAGGAAAGAAAGACAAAAGTGAAAAACAAACAATAATATAAACAACAAAAATAAGGAAAGACAAAAGTGAGAAACAAACACACTAATAAACAACAAAAATAAGGAACGAAAGAAACAAACAAAAAACAACAAAAATAAGGAAAATAAAAAAAGAAAAGGAAAAATGAAAGAAATAATGGAAATTAAAGAAACAAAGAAACAAAAAAACAAACAAAAATAGATAGAAAAGAACCGAAAGAAAGAAAGAAAGAAAGAAAGAAAGAAAGAAAGAAAGAAAGAAAGAAAGAAAGAAAGAAAGATTGCAATGCTGATTTGATGGAAAATAAAGTCTTTTGCCTGTATATAATCTTCATTGTTTGGCCTCTTATTTCACTCACTTGGACCACAAAGAAATTGTTTTGGCACGAGCAGCACATGCCTGTGGCTAAAAAAAAAAAAAAACGAGGAGATTAAATGAAAAGCAATTATATGCAAAACTGACTTTTTTTCTGAACAAGCACTCATTTTGAATGAGAAACTTCTTTGTTTCAAGAGGACTTTCTCTGAAGTGTTGGAGCAAAAATCTGGTATGTATAATAATGAAAACCATATGCCAGCTTTCCAACCCCCATCCAGCCCTCGGCTTGCCTCTTTTTATACCTCCGTCTGAGACTAAAAATGCGGGAGAGTCGGGGGTCGCAAACATACCAAAACACCTGTACTTAATCAAACCCTCAAGACAGAAAACCGCCTGTCCCGTTACTGAAATAAGAAACAGAATAACACACTCGTTCATACTGTATGACCTCATCCATCTCATTCACTTTCCCTGATCCAGTGAAGCGCTTTCTGCAACGATAAGATGCTTTTACTGTGGAACAGACTAAATATAGCCTTGCTTCTGGTGGAAATAATATTAAAGCAACAGAGAATATGAAAAGAAAACAAGTGCGCTTTAGGGCGCTTCTGATAAAGAGCAGTGCTGAATGAAAAGAGGCTTCGCTCACCTCATCATCCTTGTACCAGGACAGATTTTCAGCGGTCATGACAAACCAGTACTCCTTCGCTCCTCCTTTCATGATGCCAATGTTATTGATGGTGAGCCAACCCTTTCTGATCACCTAGACACAAGCAAACAGGACATGTTTTAAGAGATAAATGACAGAGTATGCTCTCATTAATTTGTTTTTCACTAGGTTTTTCTTTTTATTCACTGCCAAAACTGCTTTTCTTACTTAGATTATTTTCAAGATCTAGTCGAAGATTGCTTTGTTTGGACCACTGGCAGATTATTTATCTTGCTTTAAGGAAAAACCTCACTTGATTTTGACATAAAATTTGTGAAAACAAGACTTTTGTCAAGAAAATGGTTCTTGATTTAAGAAGTCTTATATATTTGTTCTAGATGCAAGACAAAAATATAAGACAAAAAGTAAGATAAGCATTTTTTTTTGCAGTGCTTGTGGATATGAATTGCATTATGAAGCTTTTATTGTCAAAATTTTGATGTTGAGCATTAAACAGTTTAACAAAGTGACTTTTATTGACATTTTAATATTATACAATATATTGTAAAAGAAATGGTAGATATAGACTCCTAAGACAAATAATTTTTTCCCCTTTTTTATCTGTGTTTTCCTACATCCTTAGGGGTAAAAAATTCTACAACCTAGGACTCTATTTTGACGGTCCATGCGCAGAGCGCAAAACGCAGGGCACAAACGCTTTCAGGGCGTGTCAGGATGTGTTTTTGCTCATTTAAGGATGGGAAAACTGCCTTGCGCCGTGGTGCATGGTCTAAAAGGGTTGAGTTTATTTTCTTAATGAGTTATAGGTGTGTTTTGAGAATAAACCAATTAGAGTCTCATCTCCCATTCACTTTAAGACCCAGCTGCGTCGCGTCAAGAGCGCATTCGCTATTTACAGGACGCAAAGTAAGTCTAAGTGGAAAAAAATTAGCATTTCACAAGCAAACAGTGAACAGTTATCAGTTTTTTTTTACAGAAAACTGTTAAACAGAGCATCTACTGCGTGAGAATGAGAGATAATGGAACTACTTTCACATTCGCTCTTGGATAGGGAAACCTTTACGCAAAGACATCAATTAGTCTATAAATAATTAATTGCGTTTGTTAAGCGCAAATATTCGTTTCAAAACTATTTCTAAATTCAGTTCTAATTTCCAGCAAACAAATAAATGAACAATAATAACCAAATCTGCTCAAAAACCCGAGTTATATCCTAAAACACATGCTGTGCCCCATATGGTCTAAAACCTGACAGGTGGGCAAATCTAAGCTTGTTTTTAATAAAACAAATATAAATATGGATATAATAAATAATACTGCTAATAAGAATAACATTATACAAAAGCAAATTGTTATGAATGAACTGAAAAAGCCTCCCGAGATGAAGAAGACATAAAAGCAGTGATTTTTCATATTTATGTAGGCTAGAAAATAATATGTTTTGTAATATTTTAATCCTTTATATTTATATTCTATATCTATTCTTATTATATCCTATATATATCCTTAATATTTACATTTTTTCATATGTAAAGATATTTGCCTATTGCTCTCTTGTGCGTATTAAGCAGTGTGTAAGCGAGGCGCAACTCTGCACCGGAGTTTAGATCGGGTTAGTTTTGGTCTAATGAAAAATCTATTTTAGTTTCTCAAAATAGCAACGGGTCAGCAGAACGCCTTCCTTTTTTAGACCAGAACGCCTATGGGCGCACAAATGAGCCCTAATGCATTTGCTATTTAAACAGCGTAGTGCAACGCCTCAAAACGACTCTTGCGCCAAGCCGAAACTACCAAAAGACTATTGCGCCGCGCCTCGCGCCACACTGCGCCGGGTGTATGATAGGGCCCTTAGAGTTTTTAAATTTTTTTTTTTTTCTTTAAATTTTTTAGCATGTCCGGTGTAGAGGACCACGGGACCTTTTTAGTTCGTTATGACTGTTAAACTCAGACAACAAAACTGTACAGGATATGGCTGTAAAGAAACATTAATCCAATATTAATGTTACAAAAACAAATCACAACAAAAGCCTTTTTTTCCTTCTTTATTGAAATTTCTGAAACTGTTTAGTCTGAAAGAGAGCCGAACTCAAAAAAAGAAAAAAAGGCAGTGATGTTAATCCAAAACAAATTTACCATAAAAGCTGATTGTCATTCTTTAATTGTCTCTATGTGCGGCATCTGTTCAATAATCAAGCACATAATTAAGTACAAAATAAAACAAATAAACACTCGCAGAAATAGAATTAAATATGTGCAAAATATAGTTTTTAATATGGTCAGACACTGCTGGGTGTTCATAATCGCACTTTGCATTGGCATTTTGGATAAAATTGCTATCAGATAAAAAAAAAACTTCAAATACTTGAAGTTCTAGCGTCTGCTAAATGACTAAATGTCATGTATTAATGGGGACTGAATATGCCCCTTTTTACAAGATGTAAAAGAAGAAAGAAGAAGAAAAGTCTCTGATGTCCCTGGAGTGTGTCTGTAAAGTTTCAGCTCAAAATATCAAACAAATAATAATAAATATAAATCAAATAAACTCTCTGAAACTGCTCCTTTTAGGCTGTGATCCAAATTGTACCGTTTTAGTGATTGTCGCTTTAAATTCGAAATGAGACGGTGCTCTTTTCAAGAGAGGGCAGAGCTACAAATGCCTATGTGTCACTATAGGGACAGATTCAAAATAGGGGTAACATTATCTGTTAAAAACTGAAAGTGACAGCAAAGACATGTACAATGCAAAACTTTTTTATGATGTCACATATATTTAACTCTTTCAAATAAATAATTCATTTGGAACTAATGATGAAGGAATTCTTTAAAAAAATGGTTCACACATAAATGGATAAATTAAAAGTTATTTATTCAGAATATTAAATTTTTTGTCTATTTTGACAGATTTTTTTATCCTGCTCCAAACACCTTTTTAAAAAATGTATTTAAATTTTTATATAAAATGTGTATATTAATAGCAAATAAATATCCAATTATAGTTTAGTATAATACAATGATTTTTTTAGAACTACAATTTGTTTATAAAATAGTTACATTGAATTTTTTCTCAATTTCTCAAACTTTTAGCAGTTTTTATTTTTTTATTTCTTACATCTAGCAGTATTTTTTCCCCTTTTACCTGGAAAAAACATGTAGTGCATTCACGGTGTGCTTTATTTGTTCAGTACATTTGTTCCTTGAGATCATGTTTGTACCAGAAGAGCAATAAAGCTCTCAGGAGGACAGTGACTTTACACCGGAAACCCTGAATCACACACAGACACAAAACCTTCTTCTTTATTGGAAAAGGACAGAATTAATTAACAATCATAATAAGCTATTTGTGATGTAGTTTAAAACAAGTATAAGGACTATAATTATCAATATGTAAGGCTATTTTTCACATCAATTCATACTGAAAGGCCAGAGCACATTAGCAGACACTCACACACGCACACACAGACACACACTTACACTTACCATTATCTCATCCTGAGGAGCGTTGGCATAGGAACAGTAGCAAAGCAAAGACAGGTAATTAGAAACTGAAAAAGGCAGCGGAGAAAACAGACAAAATGAACAGAATACAAGCATAGCAGAAAGATGTGAAGATAGTTCAGTTCACAGCATGAAACCAAGACATAAAATCATTTGTGAAATGTGCCTAAATATAACATGCTAAAAGTGCTCTTCTATTTTTATTTTACATTATCATATAAAGCCTGTATATTATTAGCGAATACATATCAAATTATTGTTTAAACTAATAATTTCTTATATATATATATATATATATACACACACAGTTGAAGTCAGAATTAATAGCCCAACTTAGAATTTTTTATTTCCCAAATGATGAACAGAGCAAGGACATTTTCACAGTATGTCTGATAATATTTTTTCTTCCCGAGAAAGTCTTATTTGTTTCATTTCGGCTAGAATAAAAGAAGTTTACATTATTTTAAAAGCCATTTTAAGGTCAAAATTATTTGCTCCTTTAACCTATATATTTTTTCGATAGTCTACAAAACAAAACATCATTATACAATAACTCGCCTAATTACCCTAACCTGCCTAGTTTACCTAATTAACCTAGTTAAGCCTTTAAATGTCACTTTAAGCTTTATAGAAATGTCTTGAAAAATATCAAGTAAATATTATTTACTGTCATCATGGCAACGATAAAATAAATCAGTAATTAGAAATGAGTTATTAAAACTATTATGATAAGAAATGTGTTGAAAAAAATCTGCTCTCCGCTAAACAGAAATTGCGGAAAAAATAAACAGGGGGCTAATAATTTAGGGGGGCTTATAATTCTGACTTTAACTGTATATATATATATATATATATATATATATATATATATATATATATATATATATATATATATATATATATATATATATATATATATATATATATATATATACAGTTGAAGTCAGAATTATTAGCCCCCTTTTGATTTTATTTAATTTTTTTAAATATTTCCTAAATGATTTTTAACAGAGCAAGGAAATCTTCACAGTATGTCTGATAATATTTTTTCTTCTGGAGAAAGTCTTATTTGTTTTATTTAAGCTAGAATAAAAGAAATTTTAAATTTTTTAATAACCATTTTTGGGACAAAATTATTAGTCCCTTTAAGCTATATTTTTTTTCGATAGTCTGCAGAACAAACCATCGTTATACAATAACTTGCCTAATTACCGTAACCTGTCTAGTTCAACTTATTAACCTAGTTAAGCCTTTAAATGTCACTTTAAGCTGTATAGAAGTGTCTTGAAAAATATCTAGTCAAATATTATTTACTGTCATCATGGCAAAGATAAAATAAATCCGTTATTAGAAATAAGTTTTTAAAACTATTATGCTTAGAAATGTGCTAAAACAATCTTCCCTCCATTAAACAGAAATTGGTGAAAAAAATAAACAGGGGAGCTAATAATTCAGGGGGGCTAATAATTCTGACTTCAACTGTATATATATGTTATACATATATGTTATCCCAACACAAATTGATTAGGTTAACTAATTTTTTATAAATTTAAGTGGATTGACAAAAAAACAATTAAGTTTTTTGCCAAAAAACTCAAGAATTGTGTTGATTCAGCTCATTTTAAATGACAAAGGCAGCAAAACTCCTTTTTGAGTGTACATTGTAAAACAAAAATTAAGTATCTTACTTTTACTAAATATCTTACTTTTTTTTCTCATTTTAAATAGAAAAAAACTCTTAAGATAAAATACACCTAAATATTATATTTAATAATGTTTCGTGGACATTGTGAAGAGAAAACTTGCAAACAAACAGTACTGCACTTCAGAGTCACACTGCTAGCGATTGAAGATTTATGTAAGTTTGGCAAAAGGTGAATCGCGTTATGGCTAGGGACCATTGTATATATTCATTTGTGTAGCTTAACTGATAGTAAAATTGCTATTACATATGTTAAAATAATTGTACATTGGCAAATTATTATTAAGACTTTTATTTATTTATTTGTGTTTATTTGCTTATTTATTTGTGTTTATATATTTATGTGTTTGTATTTATTTATTTATTTGCGTTTATTTATTTATTTGTTCATGTTTATTTGTTTATTTATTTGTTTGTTTATGTATTTGTTTATTTATTATTTATTTATTTGTGTTTATTTATTTATTTGTTTATTTATTTATTTATTTATTTATTTATTTATTTATTTATTATTTATTTATTTATTTATTTATTTGTGTTTATTTGTTTGTGTTCATTAATTAATTAATTTATTTATTTATTTATTAATTTATTTATTGATTTGTGTTTATTTACTTATTTGTTTGGTTGGTATATATTTATGTACATTGCCACAGCATCAATATAATCTAAAATGACTATATTTGTGAGCGTGTGTGTTACTATATTTAAATACACTATTTTATTGGATTATTTTTTAAAAAGCTGAGATTTACTTTAGCTGAGCATTCACTTCACCATGCATTTCTTTGTTCACATCATACATTATTTCTTACTTCAAATTCTGCAAGTGTACCGTAGTAAAAAGTAATTATTAGACCCGATTGCATGTTCAGTGTAGACGCTTTTAAATAAATTATGGGAAAAAAACTATTGTCACAATCCAGTTGCTCTTTGTGTTTGCCAGTGAAACAAAAGAAACTCCTCATTATTTCTAACCTTCCACAAATATTTTACAAAACAACCCCCAGCCCTGTTCTCAGTAATTAAAATCTCACATGACAGGCAGTGAGTGATGTGGCGTCCAATTATAAACCTGCTGCTGATGTTCTCACAAATATTATGCTTGAGCGAAGCAGCAAACATCTGTCCGAGCGCTTTGTGATGCGTCTGCTCATTGTGCCATTGTTCTTACCTGATTGCCAGCAGCTTTCTTCTTATTCATCTGACTGCTTCTCTGTTGGGCGCTGAAGGGAGAAAAAGACACAAATCCAGATGAATCAAAATAGTATAAATTAATTAATTAATTTTATAGTGTTTTTCTGCTGCTAAGGTCTTTTTCATGAATAATAGATAGATTTTTCTCTTGCTGAGTGCTACATTTGTCAATGCAATGTAATTTTGTTGTAATTCATCTCCTGTGATGTTCTGAATGATAAAAAAAAGAAACTAAAACTTACAGTCAATGATCAAACGTGTGATAACTGTGAGACATGTTTGAGAAAGCGCACTAAAATAAGTGTTCAAACTTCACTGTCTTGTACCATTACACAAAGTCTGTGTGACGGGGAGGACGGGGACAAACTGCCCACAACATTGGAGAGCAGATTGGGAGTCTGGTGGCTAAAAAAAGTAGGTCAATTAGTGTCATGATTAATGCAACCCAGGCTCATTCTGAAAACGTAGTCCCTCTGACATTTCTGGAGACCGCAAATTATGTAGCCGGATGTACAAATGGCTGCATTTCATTTTTTTTAAGCGAACGCTGCGGGTCGGTATGACGCCGTTCCTTTTGGCACTTACCGGCTGACCGTTTACCTCTGTGTAGAGGCTTTTCTCGCCACAACAAGTTTGTCCAGTTAGCAAGTCGTGTACGTCAGCAGACTTGAGACGCAGAGAGGAGTTGACGACGACAACGACTGGGTTTGAGTCTATGGAAGAGCGCTTCCAGAAATCAGGTAAGACAAAAACAGAATCCAAAAAATAAAATGAACGAGTGAATAACAGGGTGAGAATGTGGTAAAATCCAAAAAACGTGGTAAAAATCAGACAGGGGCTTTTCTTTTATCAGGACGGCTTTTGTAAATTGTTGATTGGGTTTAGGGAAGTAAGTGGGAGGGCGGGTCAATCAGTAAAATTGGTTGGACGTATTTGGCGGTCTCCATAAACGTCCACAGGACTACGTTTTCAAAATGAGCCTGGGTTGCATTAACACCTGTATTCTCTCAGTGATTGGTCCAGAGAGTTGCTTCAAAAGTGAGACAATGGGTGGAGCAGAGAGAGACGGAAGAACAGCAGGGATCTTAATTCGCCAACCCTGGACTTCGCCACCAAATGGTCATCCACCAGCTGGATGGCGATGTCAAGCTTCTCAGGCTGGTGGCACTGGACCCATTCCGATGTCAGGGGAGGGAGGAGGGCGATGAACTGACCCAGAACCACAGGGTCCATGGTGGTCGACGGTCCGGCCACCCTGCATCAGCCATCTGCGGCAGGCATCACAGAGCTGCTGAGTGTACACAAAGGATCGGCCACTCTTATTCATTGGTCATCCTGCTGGGCTTCAACAGGACCCGGAACCGTTGTTCCTATTCCACTCGCATGTCCATAAGAGCCTGATGTTGTTCTTGGAGGAGGCCCTCGAGCACCTGGATCACTTCCGCAAAAGGCGTAGGAGAAAGAGTTGTCATGCTGGCAGCAATGTCTTCCCTTCTTTTTGGGTTTCGGCACCAGCGTAGAAACGTTTGTTTGAAGTTTGAAAAAAAAAGGCAGGGGCGGCGATACAGGCAGTGGCGTAGTGCCATAGCGGAAATGAGTGAGCCTGGCAATCAAATTTCAATGGTTGATTCTACAAACCAGATGATTAAGCTAGAGCGTTCTAATCTAGATGTTTGTGTTTTTTTGGTGGCGAATAATAATCATGTTGATAAATGGATAATACCTGCAGTAATGGTGCTTACTTTGCAAAGCCAATGAAATCCTCATGATTGGTGTTCATGTAGGCTAACTCAATGTCTATTAGCAGCATGACCTGAGGCAGAAAAAGAAACACAAAACACATTTGACTGCTTAGTTTGTCAGCTGAAGCTATCCACCTTTTTTCTGCACATGACAATAGTAATAAATAAAGTTTGGGGAACATCCATTCAAAAGAACTGGAACAAATCTGTCTCTGTGTAAAATAATAAAGATGTGCTACCAATAAAACATATACAATGAAAACTGAGTGAGAAGGACATTTGGCTTTGTGCTTTATTTTTATCAGTAATGAAAATAACATAATGCTCATTGTGTTGTGACTTTAGTATCACAAGCATATCTGTGGACAAACAGTCTGTAATGTTGCTATGGAAAGACTCGTTTTGAGGGTTATCCATGGTCTGCTGAAAATAACTAATTGATTCTAAAAAGTTGCTTGGTATGACTTTAGTTTAGGTCACAATTCGTGGTATTAACTACAGGCTTTTTATTTTGATATTAACTGCTCATTAGTAGTTCTAAAGTATGATCTTAATCCTAACCAAAATCTAAACCCAACTCCTACCATACTAACTATTATAAACAGCTAATTTGTAGTTTTTTTAGCTAGTAGTGTTAGTTAATGGTTTGTTAATATTGTGAATTGTGGCCTAAACTAAAGTGTTAACAGTTGCCTTTTAATCTTAAATGTGAGGATGATAATGGCACCTCATTGTCCCCAATGGAAGTCTATGAGGCAAAAAGTGCTAAAAAACATCTTTACACCCTTAAATTAAGTAAACCATCACGATGTGTAGAAAAAAGGTGGAGAGCTTGGGTTTAGCCACTTGTGTTTTTATATATGAGGGGTTGGCAGGTGCGTGCTCGATGGGTTGTACCTGATTCTTAGTGCGACTCTCTCGATCGCGGATATGCTGGGTGACAATCCTCTCCATTTCCTCTCTAAGCATGGGGTATTGGGCCAGCTGTCAAACAAAACACACAATACTGGATTACCTACTAGCTCTCAGACAAGAAGCAGGACTTATTGTTTAAGCAAAATGTATTTCCACAGACAAATGAACAAGAGATTTCAGAGATGAATCATGATGAATTTTTCTGGGTAGTATGTACACTAAAAATATATAATAATAGACAATTGAAGCAAGTAATTACACTACACATATAAACAATGAAGCCAATCATAATCATTTAGAAGAAGCATTTCATTGTGCATAATGATTCTGCATTATTTACATGACAATACAATACTAATTGAAACACGTGTTTGGGTGTTTTGTTTTTGAGAGAAATGCAATTTTTTCATCCGTAAATCAACATCAAATTAACAAATAAATTAGCACATTTAAACAATGTATGTTGACCTGTGTGTTTTTCTTTATGAATTTTACTTGCATGTCATCAAAGCAAAGGCACAAATTTAAACAGGCAGAATTTGGCTAACATGCTTTGATTTTGGCTGATCATAATCTAACTTTTAAATAATCTAATCATTTAACTTTTATCTTTTTTTAGGTCAATATTATTAGCCCCTTTAAGATTTTTTTTTCAGTGACTTGTCTAATTAACATAACTTGCCTAATGTATTTAACCTAATAACCCAATTAAGCCTTTAAATGGCACTTAAAGCTGTATACTAGTATCTTGACAAACAAAATATTTTATACCATGTACTGTTATCATGGCAAAAACTATAAAATAATACAATTTTGACATCAACTCTACATATAAAGGGACAAAATGACAGCTAAAATGACATCCTACAGAAATCCAGCTCTCCTCTAAAAGCTGTGCCAGCCAGCATTTTGCCAGACTCACTCTGGATACTTATATCTCTGCTATCAATACCTCTAGATAATATATATATATATATATATATATATATATATATATATATATATATATTCATAACAGCTTTATAAATGTGTCCATTTTGATCAAGTCAGTGCAAAATTTTATTATTACGAACAGGGCTTGACTTTTTTGATCACCAGCCACTATGGCTAGTAGATTTCCAACTTTACTAGCCACTAACCATTTTCACTAGCCACACTTTTGTTGTTGGGAAAATATATTTTATACACATTAATATGACTTTGACATGCTAAAATTACTTGATTTAGACATTGTGTTATATCCACATGCCTCAATAATTTAACTTTTTTGTGTGTATGAACTTGCTTAATGTGCATGAGCATATGGGTTGTGGTTTCATGGTGTCGCATTGCAATTAATTTTTATTTCACAGGACTTTTCAGGGCTCAGAATGAAGGATTTACCAAATTTATCTCTGACCACACCAAAAATAAAAAATAAATCTATTATTTCTGTTAAATAATATGTCAAAACATACAAAACATAGCTGTATATGCTCTTATTATACTTTTATTCCATTAAAAAATATATATATTTCCATGTACCTAAAACAATGCACAGTAGCCTCTGTCCAGGCTAAAGGTCTCTCAGATCACCAGTTTTCTACACATTACACACACATGGGGAGTTAATCTCTTATTAAAGCAATGTTGTTGTAACAATAATTATTAAACCATATTTAAAAAAATAACCTTAAGCAAAAAAAAAAAAAAAAAAAAAAGCAGGTGACAAACATACCAATGGAAGGATGATCAAGTGCACACTGGTAACCTTAAGCCCATAATCTGTTCTGTTCAAAAAAGTTCAAACAAAACCGGCAATTGCTGCTGCTTTCAAAGACTTTTTTTAAAAACATCCAGAGCTTTTGGAAGCAGCAAGATTGTGGGTGCACGATTATCACCTTTTGTCCAGTCTATTTTAAAGAGAATCAATCGCAGCAGTTGTGTTTCCAGGCACGGTTTCTTCGTGCCAGGAAACGTGATCGCGCATGCTTGTTAAACAGTCGCGCGCATCAAATTACCTGTGCACGCGAGTGATCATCCTCTCATTTAGTACTCCCCTGCTTTCTTTTGCTTGTGCGAACGTTACTTTTGTCTGTCGTGCTGCTTCTGCTAAGATGACATTTCCACGAATATTGAGCCATCTTTATTGCTGAACCCTGCTTTTAAGAAAACTATTATTTAAAATAAACTTCAACCAGCCAAAGTGGCTAGTGGAGGTATCTGTTTAACCCGCCACAGCTCAAATCTACCCAACTTTGGCGGGTTGGCGGGTGTTAATGTAAAGCCCTGATTACGAACAATATTATTTTCGTAGGGGAGGGGGGGGGATCGGGGGCTCGTCCGGGACATTAACATTCCCAGTGTTTGAGTATTTTTGTTTGGCTATAGTTATTATAATATTATAAGTATAATTATGTAAATTAGTGTGTTATACTTCAGAGATAGCATTGGTTCATGCTCTGCAACTTTTTTCTGGTTTCAGCCAATCCCCTTGCTCCAACTCTCCTCGATAAGCATTATAAATGTGTCCATTTTGATCAAGTTAGTGCAAAATTGTATTATTACAAACAATATTACTTTTGAGGGGGCTCATCTGGGACATTAAGTTCTAGTGTTGACATTTCTAAAGATTTTGGATTGGCCCTTTTAATTAAGTTAGTGCATGCCTTGCAGAATAAAGGAATTAATGTTAAAAAACCTCCAGTAATGTTTACCTTCTTTGTGCACTGCCTGACTGTATTGACCAGCTCGGTGATGACCAGGTCTACACATTTCTGGCATGGCTCTTTGATCTTGGCGATCTGCCGTTTAACAATAGTCTCGAAAGCCATGTCTGGAGTAAACAGACCGGTCCTGAAAAAGTAAAAGAGATGAACAGACACAGTCATAGATTTAAATGATGTGCTTTATAGATGCAGTTCAATTTGTCATTGCACTTCATGTTTCAGGGCACAGTTCTCGCAGTGCCGTACTTCATTTCTAGCATGCATGTGCTCTGAATGTCACAGCGCCATCAAAGACAGTTTGATCTCAGAGCAGGAGAGTTGCTTAATGTGTGTGTATGTGTACAGGTATATGTGGTTTATAGGAACACTTAGTTGAACAATGACATAGGTAGGACTTAGGACTTCTATTAAGCTGGTTTATTCAAATTCAAAACGACGCTTAATCATAATTAACATATCATTTCATATTATCATATCCATTATAATATGGATATTTTTGGATATCCATTATGGATATAATCCATATCCATCATATCATATCCATTATAATATTATCATTAACAAATCACATTTCCCACAGGTTTCCTGTGAGGGTTGGGTTTAGGGGTAAGGTTGGGGTGAGAGGATAGAATAGAACCGTCATTACGTCTATGAGAGTCCCCACTGGGATATAGAAACAAGTGTGCGTGTGTGTGTGTGTGTGTGTGTGTGTGTGTGTGTGTGTGTGTGTGTGTGTGTGTGTGTGTGTGTGTGTGTGTGTGTGTGTGTGTTTGATGTAGAGGCTTCACACCTGATACCGTGAATGTTCTTGATGGCGTAACTGATCTCCTTCCGCAGCTCTTTTTCATCAAACTCCATCTAGTCATCATCAGCAAACAGAAAAACACATAGTTTGTCTTCAATCGTAGAGCGTATGGTTTATCAGGCATGTGAGATATACTCGAAAAGTATGGCCACTGCTCTCAGAGAACATCAGTATGCTGTAGTTATGATTAATTTACCTTAACCAGTTCAAAGGGGAAGCGCTCGTGGAAGATGCGATTGATCCTCGCACCTCCGGAAAGCTCCACCGTGTCCACCTGATCTCCTGAACCCTCGATGCACTTCTCGAAATCCACCGCAAACTGCTGCACCATCCTTTAAAGCAAAGAGCAGTAAGATTCACACGCAAGTCATAGCAATTATACAAAGCTATGGGAAAAATAAAGAAAATTCTGCTTCTTTGTATTTACTGGGCTTACTAGGTTTGAGATTGAGTTAAAAGATAACATTTGTTATATTCTAAAATTGTTTGATAACATTTCCTTCATATTTTCAACAAATTAATTTCAAAATAACAAAAGCAATATATTGTTATGGCATTGTCGATGTAAAATTGAAATCTGGGCAACATGGTGGCTCAGTGGTTTGCACTGCACAGCAAGAAGGTCACTGGATCGAGCCCCGGCTGGGTTAGTTTGGGTGAGGAGTTTGCATGTTCTCCCATTGTTGGTGTGGGTTTCCTTCGGGTGCTCCGGTTTCTCCCACAGTCCGAAGACATGCGGTATAGATGAATAGAATAAACTAAACTGAGTTGCGGATGGAAGGTCATCAGCTGTGTAAAACATATGCTGGATAAGTTGGCGGTTCATTCCGCTGTGGCGATCCCTGATGAATAAAGATACTAAGCCGAAGGAAAACGTGATGAAATGAAATTGAAATCTGAAAGCTGTTCTAAAAGGCAATTTGTTTTCAACAGGAAAGAGATTAATAGTTTGCAGCGAGAAAATAAAATACTATAATATTTTCATACTAAAATGCTATTCTAACTATACTATTGTAACTATAAATCATGTGTAAATAAATAAGTGGAAATTTAATGTTTTCCATAACTTTATAATCTCTTTATAAATTTTAAACTTTATAATAACTTTTAAAATCTTTTTTGAATTCATAAAAATCCAAATGTACCATGTTTATTTTACTGTTAAGGCTGATTTATACTTCTGCGTTGACTCACGCCACCTACCTTGAGCGTTGTTGTGTATTTGTACATCTGCGCAGTGTTTGTGTTGCTCTGCAATAACACTTCTGAAACGCTAGCTGGCAGTAAGTTGTTTATGTTCCTCTGTGTTAAGTTTCTTCTTGGGTTTTTGTTTTTTCTGAATGCTACCTTAAAGGTGCAGTAGGTGACTGTCTTTATAAACATGTTTTGTTGTGCTGGTTAAGAGTCTCTTTACAGTACAATGATAATGATTAAAGTAAATGATCTAAATGTGCTTATATGTATTTTTATATTCTGGAAAAGGCATAAAACTAAAAAAATGTTGATCAAATTAAATATTGTCAGGCCGACATTTCCCATAATTCCGATAAGTAGCTTAAACTGTCTGTCAACAAATGCAGATTTGATTGGACATCAAAGCTGAAGTATTACTGTTAGACAGGTAATGTTCTGTTTTTGAACTATTTTAGTCATGCTAAGCTTATGTTAGATTGTGTTCTGTTATGAATGGCTTATATGCACAGAAGTGTTGTTTAGCCACTGAAATCTCCCGGTGAAAGATTGATGTGACTATTTTCAGTTTCATAAGGTCATCGATAGTGTAGATTTATATTTAGTTTAACAACAAAACATCAGTAAATAGCATTATTCTGCCTAACCTGCTTTATTGAGCTGAAGTTGCTTTTATATTCACATTGGTTCACTTTTGAACAATGGCAGCCTCCCTATTCTGTTTACCATGCTACTCTGAATATTCGCTCTGAAATAGCATGTAAGTGTGGGTAAGTAATAAATGTAATTCTTGCAAGCCGCCCACCAAACACTAATTAACTGTTACATTTCTAACTGGCGAATGACATGAACTAGTGGGTTGTCTGCTGTTGTGACACGGTGCGCGCGTTCGCAATTTCAGGAGGCGTGGCTTCAAATCACAGTCCCTCCCTTTGTCCAAAGATAATATGCTAAGCTGTTAGCATTTTGGCAGATCATCTACTGCACCTTTAATGTACAAGTAACTAAAAGTCACTCATTCAGAGGCAATAACCGGCGGACATGCAACACCTTTAATCATAAGGTGGACACAAAACAAATTATTCCATCTGGAGCTCTTTCACAAGACTTCACACTAGTAAACACTCGCTCCATCGAGCTCATGGCTCTCAGGACAATTACCCTCTTTGTATTGATCTTTGTTTTTAATATCATACCTGTCTGTCTACAAAAAAAGATCTTAATGTTTTCGTCTACTTAGAGCTGTTACACACTGAATGAAAAGCAATTTTACAAAAAAGACTTTTATAAAGAACCATTTAAAAGAATGACGTTCACTGATGTCAGAATCAGGACCAAATGTCTCTCCCCTAAAATCTGAGCACAAAAGCTGAATGCTCTCAACTGCATTTGCACAAGGACATACTGTGTCAGGTCACTGAGAGAAGGGAATGTTTTTCACATTGGAGAATTATTTGCTCACTTGAAAGCATTTTTGCGTGTTTTTTTAACACACGTCTAGTACAGTCCTCAGACCAGTCTGCACGGGTGATGGGAGATATAATGCAGTATGAACATAGTGAGAGAAGGTTTTTGCCAGACCACTTCCTCTCAAAGTACACCCCACTTACAACACCTACTGACTTTTATTCAGAAATTTAGTACTGCACCACAAGAAGTCAGATTTGGCAGCCTGACCTGATCTGCAATGTAACTATTTTAAGTTTTGTCAGTTTAATGGCTTAGTGACTAAACCTGCCGACGGAAATGTAGGACTATTAAAAGGAGGTGTGGCACCAAACCCCACCCCTAAACCCAACCATCATTGGGGGATGAGCAAATCCGGCTAAAATGCACTATGAGATCGTACAAATTCATACAAGTTAGCCACTGAATCAAAAAGTTTTAAATTGGTGCGAGATACCGTTGGATTTGGAGAGAATGAAGTGAGTGAAAACTGAAAAAAAATTTTTTTTTTAAATAGCTCATATTTACTTGTATCTTTGTATCCTAAATGTAAGATCAATTTAATGCATTTTGATTAATTTAATGCATTCATACTGAATATAAAATATTAAATTATTTACCCCTTCTGTTAACTTATAGGACAAAAATAACCCATGAAAAATTTTAAAGCAAAAAAAAAAATGAAAAATTCATATATTTTCCTTCAGCTTAGTTTCTGATTAATCAGGGGTCACCACCGCGGAACGTACCACCAACTATTCCGGCATATATTTTATGCAGCGGATGGTCTTCCAGCCGCAACCCAGTACTGGCAAACACCAATACACACTCATTCACACACGCACTCATACACTACGGCCAATTTAGTTAGTCCAGTTCACTTATAGTGCATGTCTTTGGATTGTGGGGAAAACCAGAGCCAACATGGGGAGAACATGCAAACTCCACACAGAAACTTCAACCGTCCCAGATGGGACTCGAATCAGCGACCTTCTTACTGTTAGGTGACAGTGCTAACCACTGAGCCACTGTGTCGCCAAAATAACTACATTATGTTTTTTTATCTTAAAGTTTGATTACTTTTTCTAACAATGAAACATTTTCTATTTCTTTTCACGAATGCTGTTCACATTTCGGGTACAATAGTTATCCTAGGAGTCAATTTTGACACCTTAAAAAATAACAGACATGAACACTTCAACACACCCAACCACACACACACACAATAGAAATACGCTGCTTTAACTTTTATGAATACTGTCTCGCTAAAAGCATTTTAGACTTATGCAGGTACCTTTAGCATTAGCAAATATAAATCTTTACTTGAGTCAAAACTAACTGTTGCCAACTGATTAAACCAACCCAGGCTCATCCTGAAAATGTACCCCTATATACATTTCTGGAGAGTGCCAAATACGTATATTGCAGTTTTTGTTTTCGCGAATCCACCGGAGGCCGCTGTGTTCTCTTTTTGAGATCTCAAATTTCTCTTGTGAGTGCCATTCGCGACAGCTCTTTTTGCTTAAATCCACCAGAGGCCGCTGTTGACTGACTGACTGATCAACAGACCCACCCTCTTCCTTCCCTAAAACCAACTGACAGTGTTTTCAAAATCAGCGATTGACCCGCAATTTTTTTTGGCTTTGTTTTTGTTTTACCTGACTCAAACCCAGTCATCCAGGTCAACTCCAGTCCACAAACTGATGTACACAGTAAGCCACTGGACAAACTGGTAACAGCAGAAAAGCTGTCCATATGGAGGTAAGCGGGTAACCTTGAAAAGGAGCGGCGACATATCGCCCCGTAGCGTTCGTTTTAAAGATGAAATGCAGCCATACAAACTTCTGGCTACATAATTCGCAATCTCCAGAAATTTATATAGAACTACATTTTCAGAATGAGCCTATGTTGCAACAAACATTGGTGAAATACTGCATACTGACTAGTGCAAATGTAGACATGCACAGAACGTGTAATGAATGATGAGGTTTTTCAAAAAAGAGAATTGAAATTAAATTTAGCTGCTTAACTTCAGAGGTTTTTGACTCCGTAGGACAAGCGAATTCTAAGTGCACAGAATGCTAAGACCACTCAAGAGTTAAAAACATCTTTCTGACTCTGAACATTAGCCAAACAGTGCAGTATGTGTACATGGATTGTAAATGGCAAAGTGTGAATATACTGCACACTAAAAAAAAGGGTCCACACAATTCATTCATGTGTTTATGTTATTCAAGTCAGTTAACTTAACTGGATTGAACATGAAACAATTGCAAAATAGGCTCATTCTGAAAATCTACCCCTATATACATTTTTGGAGATCTCAAATTAGGTAGCCATTAGGTACTTATGGCCGCTTTTCATCTTTCAAACAAACGCTAGGGGGCGGTATGACGATGTTCCTTTTCTCGCTGACCAACTGACTGATTACCTTAATATGGACGGCTTTCCCACTGTTACCAGTTTGGCTTACTTTAGATGCAGAGCAGAGTTGACCACGGCAACAAAGTTTGAGTCTGGTGTAGAACGTTTCCAGAAAGCACGCAAGACAAAAGCAACCAAAAAATTAAATAAACAAGTAAATAACATGGTGAGAACGTGGTAAAATCTGAAAATGTGGTATTAATCAGAAAGCAGCTTTTCTTTTTTGTATTGCTTTTTAAAACTGGGTTGCTTTTTTTTTGGTTGGGTTTAGGGAAGTGGGTGGGCAGGTCAATAGGTGCTTTTCAAAATACAATTGGTTGGATTTAGGAAAGGGGGGGTTGAGGGGATCGGTCAGTTGGCGAGTCAGTCAGTGAGTTAGTCAACAGCGGCCTCTTGTGGATTTCCGCAAGAACAGCAGGTGCAAATGGCACTTGCGAGAGAAATTTCGAGATCTGAAAAAGCATATACAGCGACCTCTGGTGGATTTGCAAAAACTGCAACAAAAAACATACCACCTAGGATGTATTTTGCTCTCTCCAGAAATGTATACAGGGGTGTGTAATCAGAATGAACCTGGGTTAAACAATAAGGTTTACCCAATAAAATCTCAAAAATGGTATTATTTTAGCCCATTTTATTAAGTAGATTAAACAAAGTAGATTAAACAAACTGCTGAATAATTTTTGGAGTGTGCGTTAAACTCACTGTAGCAGAGCTTTGGTTTTGCGGGAAGGATCATCAGGGCGGAAGTGCTTGTACTCCTCCACCTCCTTCTCAATGGACAGTAACTGGCTCTGAAGTTTATTCCTCAGTCCCGGCAGGGTGTCTCGGATGTGATTAGTCAATTGCTAGATGGGAAACAAAATCCCTGGTTACAGGTCAACATTTACCAAAGCTCCATTAATTTAAACATTATTATCAAGGCTATATCAAAACGACTATTAAAGGTGTACAAAACCTAATTGAGTACCTGATTAAGCGCTTTTTGCAGGTATGGAGTCCCCATGCGATCGGCCAGGTGTCGGTAGGACGGATGGGTGAGGAAAAACTTCCTTTCAGCACTCATGGCCGCAGTGATGTCCTTCTTGCCATCAATGTCCTTCTGACTGCGGTTCACAACCCCAATGTAGCCTACAGAGTACATGCAAAGTAGTTTTAGACAACACTGTAAAAACATGGGCGATGCAGTGGTGCAGTAGGTAGTGCTGTAGCAAGAAGTGTGAGGTTCCGAAGAAGGTTGCTGGTTCAAGCCTCAGCTGGGTCAGTTGGCGTTTCTGTGTGGAGTTTGCATGTTCTCCCTGCGTGGGTAGGTGAATTGGGTAGGCTAAATTGTCCATAGTCTATGAGTGTGAATGAGTGTGTATGGATGGGTTTCCCTGAGATAGGTTGCAGCTGGAAGGGTATCCGCTGCGTAAAACATGGGCTGGATAAGTTGGCGGTTCATTCCGCTGTGGCAACCCCAGATTAATAAAGGGACTAAGTCGAAAAGAGAATGAATGAATGAATGTAAAAACATGCTTAAATTAGCAGTTTTCTGTATTTTGTGATTTATGTTTTATTTTTTAATCATTAATTTATGCTTTTGAATTGCATTATGGGTCCTTGATATTACTTCCAAAATAATTTTAACATTGAAAAGTTGCAAAAAGGGGATTTAATATCATTTTTAATAGTTTAAAGTGATATATTCTATGAGTTGGTTTTGTAGATCACAGTACAATTCCCTTAGTAATGAACTGCCTCTATAATTTTTGTTATTTTAAAGACTTATTTCTCTACATACTCATACGTTATATTATTTCCAACTACTAAAATGTCAATAAAGGCTACTTTGTTAAACTAGAGTTGAATTTTCAACATCAAAAGTCGACAGAACAGAGATCATGGTCCCATAATGCAATTCACAATCGTAAATAAATGGAAAACACTTGTGAATCACAAAATACGGAAACTGATAATTAACATATTTTTACAGTGTATATAAAAGGGGCGAGCATATAAGCTGCTTTAGTCGATGTAGCCTACTTAAATTTGCATATAGCGCATGATTTAAAAGTCGGAATTGTATCTGTTCAACAAAAACGCATACATTTGTACAAGAGTAAATGCAACTATCTTTAGAAATCATTCATACATTAATTTTCCTTAAGCTTAATCTCTAATTCAGAGGTCGCCACTTTGGAATGAACCACCAACTATTCCAGCATGTTTTATGCAGCTGATGCCCTTCCAGCCGCAACTCATACTGGGAAACACCCATACACTCTCATTCACAAAAACCCATACACTACGGCCAATTTAGTTTATCCAATTCACCTATAGCGCATGTCTTTGGACTGTGGGGGAAACCGGAGCACCCGGAAAAAACCCATGCCAACACTGGGAGAAATGCAGACTCCACATAGAAATGCCAACTGGCCCAGCCAGAACTCGAACCAGCGACCTTCTTGCTCTGAGTTGACATTGCTAACCACTGAGCCACCGTGCTGCTGTTTTCAGATATCAGATCAGAAAAAAACATATGAAGCAACCATTTGCGGAAAAGGCCCAACAAGTAAAATAACTTTCCATTGAATGATTAGAAAATGATCCACACCTGCTTCGCATCATGACCTCATTACAACCTTGGGTGTGCATTATTGTTTATTAATACAACAGCCAGTCATCAATTATAATTAGTATAATTTAGAGAGAGAGAGATATCATGTACTCGGATGGATGAAGTGACAGCTACGTATACTGGCTGCGATATATACATTCACCATCCACACCATAAGAAATGGTTCATTTAAATCCAAATGTTTTATTTCAATAGTAAAAAAAATGTTTATTATTTAAATTGTTGTAATTATCAGAAATGTTATTTGCTTTTATTCCTTTTTCTCTTTGTCATAGATTTTTTATTTACTGTATATTTTATTAATTTGAAGATGTTAACATACATATCTTATACATATTTAAAATGCGTTAGCAATACTGTGCAAAATGTCACACCAATAAAGCAACTTGAACTTAGAAACAGAAACGGAAAAAAAAAAGAGTTAAAAGATTCTAAAATAGGGCGGCACGGTGGCTCAGTGGTTAGTACTGTCGCCTCACAGCAAGAAAGTCACTGGTTCGATTCCAAGGTGAGCTAGTTGGCATTTCTGTGTGGAGTTTGCATGTTCTCCCCGTGTTGGTGTGGGTTTCCTCTGGGTGCTCCAGTTTCCCCCACAGTTTAAAGACATGTGGTATAGGTGAATTGGATGAACTAGTGTGAATGTAAGAGTGTATGTGTGTTTCCCAGTACTGAATTGCAGCTGGAAAGGCATCCGCTGTGCAAAGTATATGCTGGAACTGTTGATGGTTCTTTCTGCTGTGGAAAAACCTGAATTAGCGACTAAGCCAAAGAAAAATGAATGAAATAAATGAAGATTCTCAAAATAAATATATAAAGAAAACATTCATTCATTCATTTTCCTGTCGGCTTAGTCCCTTTATCAATCCAGGGTCACCACAGCGGAATGAACCGCCAACTTATCCAATGACCCAGCGACCTTCTTGCTGTGAGGCGACAGCACTACCTACTGCGCCACTGCCTCGCCTAAAGAAAACAAAATAGAGAATAAAAAAATGTTATTAGGAGATGACAAAGGAATTGTATTAATTAAATAGGTGATTCACTAAAATCGCAATTTATATGGGCTGAATTTAAACAAACAATTCAATTTAGTAATGTTCAACTTAATTTGTTTAAATTGCAACCACTTGATTTAAAAAATAATAAATCCAATGAACCATTTTTTACAGTGTTGTTATGAAAACCTGTATGTGATGAGTATACTGAATATCAGAGAGAACAAAGGTCATCTACAGGCACAGAAGGAATAGAAGTAGCTAAAGTGCACGGGTACACTTAGACCTTCCAGTGCATCAAAGGCTTCGAAAGTACAAATGCTCTCTACAGAAATATTCTTTCTGAAGCACGTTGAGTGCCTTTATTTTCCCTTCCTTCTATTATTTTTTAGCCCCTGACCTGCATCTTGTTTTTAAGAGACCAGACACATAGAATTGTTTTTAAGAGACCAGACACATAATTTAAGGTTCAACTTGAGTGACAAGAACAAATGATTCACATCTCTTCAGTGAGATAAATAATGCCTATAAGTAATAATATAAACAACAACATATATAATGCTAATAATAATAGTACCAGTTTTTCACGGGTGGCATGGTGGCTCAGTGGTTATCACTGTCACCTCACAGCAAGAAGCTCGCTGGTTTATTTCCCAGCTGGGCTGGTTGGCATTTCTGTGTGGAGTTTGCATGTTCTCTCCATGTTAACGTAGGTTTCCTTCAGGTGCTCCAGTTTCATGCGCTTTAGGTGAATTAAATATACTAAATTGGTGTACATACATAGTGTATGAGTGCATGTGTGAATGAAAATGTATGGGTGTTTCCCAGTACTGGGTTGCAGCTGGAAAGGCATCCGCTGCATAAAACATATGCCGCAATAGTTGGTGGTTCATTCTGCAATGGCGACTCCTGATAAATCAGAGATTAAGCCGAAGGAAAATGAATGAATGCAAGTTTTCACAATCTCCCTTGGTTTAGGTGGGAAAAATCCATGATCACTATTTCTTTGTGTTGACTTTACCTCTGCGTAAGGGAAGAAGCTTGTTCTCAAGGATTTCACGTGCATCGGTTCCTTCGTCCATTAGATCCAATTTAGTGATCACACCTATAGTTCTCATACCTGTTCAGGAATAAAAACACACATTGATGCATAATTAGAGATAACTAGAGAAAAATAATCAAACATCAGGATAGCTATATTTGCAATAGGGTATATGCCAAAGCATGCTAATGGGACTTTTAATTTGCCAGTAACCTGGGTTAAGCGCTTCCGGTGAACTGTATGCCAATGCAAAAATCAGCGCGTTTAAGGTCTGTTTTCTTTAAAAATCAACAATCTCCACTGGCTGAGTGATATCCGATATAAAGTGGGTCTCAGATTGTACAAGAAGCACTGCATTAAATTACATTTTCCCCGCCATGTCTTTATAATATGAGCATTTATTTTACCCCAGTATATTCAATGGAGCTTCTGCACTAGCCTGCCAATTCTGACGGGCGCGTGCGAGTAAACGGCTTTTTGTCTCGTTTTACGCTTGAGCAACTAATTTAATGCCAAAGTCTATTTAACTGAATGTATTTTAATGACATTACAACATCGATGCTGTAAAAGGAACCATATAAAATGGAAAAAAGTTCACAATAACAGGTCACCGGAAGTTTATCAGTATGGGAAAAACACTAGCCCGACATATACCTTATTCTGAGTCTATTACACATTTCCGAGATTCCAAAGCAGAAATTACAATCTTCTATATGTAATACAATAAATATCACTTTTGTGTTCCCATTTGGATCAGTATCAAAAGAAAAAAAATCAACTAAGGCCTTTCTACAAGAATTATAAAGACATTGCTTAATTGGTATTAAACACAAGTGTAAACACATCCTAAAAACTTACTCAGCAGCATTAACGTTTATCTGTAAAATAATGGCAAGATAAGAAACTAATCAGATGTTAAAAGATGTTAAATCATCATATGAGCCATAATTGTTAATAAATAAATTGTAATTTATTCCAGTGTACGGTTATTTTTAGGAAAATTTATATGCATATTTTATTAATCAGATTTAAAGAGATAGTTTATCCAAAAATTCTAATTCTGTCTTCATTTTCTCTTCCTTCACTTGTTTTAAACCTGTTTGACCTTCTTTTTTTGGTGAACACAAAAAAAGATATTTTAAGAAACCTGTAACCGTTGACGTTCATAGTGTTTGTTTTTCCTATGAAAGTAAATGGTTACAGGTTTTAACTTTCTTTAAAATATCTTCTTTGGTTTTTAACAGAATAAAGAAGGTCATACAGGTTTGGAACCACTTGAGGAAGAAAAAATGGGGAGTCAATTTTTATTTTTGGGGTGACCTATTACTTTAAATACAGTAGTGAAGTAAAAAACACTTACAGTTACAGACTGAAAATAGTTGGAAAGAGTACTGAAAAATCATACCTAAATAAAAGTACCATTAATTGCATAAAAATGTAGTGCAAGTAGAGTAAAAGTATCTGTTGTTAATGTTACTCAAAGTATGAGTAAAGGGTAGACCTTTCAAAAGTACTCAGGAGTAGTGAGTGGTGAGTATTATGCTATAAAAAGCTGATGCATTTACATGTTATTTGTGGATGTGTGTGTAAACGTAGCATTCTGTAGAACATTTAGTAAATGCCCAGCAGGAACACAACGTCATATGATGTTAATATTAGGTTAGATTTAGGTTGTGATGTCAGGTGACCAAAATGCAATGTCTAGCCAGTGTCTATGGACAACTTCATTTTGATCATCAATTACGACTTCAAATCATGTTGATATTTGGTTGATTTTAGGTTGTGTTGGAAAGTGACCAAAATCTAATGCCGAGCTGACATCCTAAATCATATTGACATCAAATGCTGACATTTATCTGTCAGGTATGACCACCAAAATCCCACGTCTGATAGACATCATAGTGGAAACGTCCAACATCAACACTGCAAAAAATGCTTTTCTTACTTAGATTTTTTGCCTTGTTTCAAGTCCAAATATCTCACAATTCTTAAATCAAGAAGAATTTTCTAGAGAAGCAAAACATATTGTCTTGTTTTCAGCAATAATATGCCAAAATGAAGTAAGTTTTAACTTAAAACAAGCTAAATAATCTGCCAATGGGGTAAGCAAAATAATCTTATGTCTAAAGGAAAAACAAGATTATTTTGAAAATTCTTCTTGATTTAAGAATTGTGAGATATTTGGACTCAAAACTAGACAAAAAATCTAAGTAAAAAAAGCATTTTTTGCAGTGAAGCGTGGCATCATTAGACGTTGATATTTAGTTGATTTTAAGTTGGATGTTGGACATTGACTTCAAACATCAAAGTGATTTTAATTTCCAAACAAAACGCAACGACCCCACAATGTTGAGGTACAACATCAATTCAACGTCATGTTGGCATCTAATACCTGCTGGGTGTTTAAGGTCATTTTGATCATCATACAGTAAACGTCCTTCATCTTCTCATCAGTGACATGTATCTAAACAGTCTCTGGGTCAGTGCTTGTAAAGAATTTAGACATCTTCTCGGACACTTTTAATGCTTCTAGTTTTTTGCAATTATAAATCGCTTGTCTTGAGATTATGATGCGATTTACCTTCAATGTGTGATTTGATTGGACAGGAATCACAGAACGGATTTTTTACTCAGTCAATCCACATAGACAAGTGTTATGTATTTGTGTTATTTGTGCTCTGTTGCTCTGGGGGTTTTTTTCTCTCTCTCTTGCTCTGTTCTCCCATATCTGCTTTCATTATTCACAGGTTCCTTTCATTGGTCTATTCAGCTGTCAATCATTTCCTCCCCGGTTACGTCACTCTTACGTCACATCCAATTAGCAAAGACCACCCGTCATAAAAGCGCGCGCCAGACCACTCACTAGCCTCTCTCTTGACTTCTGTTTCTCTGCTTTTTTCCCGCTTGTTTCTGTTATTGCGTTGCGTTTAGACATAGCCCTGTCTAACTGTGTATTTTGTTGTTGCTTGTTTTTGTGTGCACGTTATCTGTCCATTATTCGTATATCCTTCTCAGTTTACGTTGTTTACGAGGCTTGGATGAAGCGCACAGGTAAGAAGGTCACGTGACATACACTTAGGACTACTCTTCTGTATAGTACATTAGGTTAGTGGCAAGCGCCAACCCTTGTGCTTTTTGGACAGATAGATAGAGTAGACAGTCAGGACTCGGAAGACTCTTCGTGAGTTAATTATTTTTGTTTTCCCATAGTTAGTTAGTTAGATGCTTCTGGAGAGTTCGATTTAGTTTGGGTTTTGTTCGTTTAGTTTCTTTAGCGCTGCCCGCGTCCCTTCTGCCAGCTCTCTTGTTTTTTTCCCCGTCTTTATTTGTCTTAGTGTTGTATTTATTGTAAATAGTATATTTTTGCCTTACTTACTTTTTCTTTATTTTTTATTAAGTCGTTGTTTTTGTTTACTTTTGGGAATTGTAAATAAAAGCACATATTTTTTGGTATTACTTTGGTTGTCTTTTGCACTTATTCACTGTTTATATAAATATATTTTAATTACATAAATGTCAAACCCCACCCTTCCCTAGACCAGGGATGTCCAGACTCGGTCCTGGAGGGCCGGTGTCCTGCCAAATTTACTTCCAACCCCAATCAAACACACCTGGGCAAGCTAATCAAGCTCTTACTAGGCATTCTAGACACATACTTGCAGGTGTGTTGAAACAAGTTGAAGCTAAAATCTGCAGGACACCGGCCCTCCAGGACCAGGTTAGGACACCACAGCCCTAGACTAACATCAGGGGTTTGTAACACAAGAAAAATAAAGTAGTGAATGCAGGTTGAAGGAAAGTAGTGGAGTAAAAGTTCCCATACAGACCTAAATATGTATTTAAGGAACATTTAAAAGCACACATTATTAAAACTACTAAGTAAATTAAAATTCCTAAAAAAAATTTACTCAATTACAGAAATATGAGTTTTTGTAATTTGTTACTTTACACCACTGCTGACCATCACTAGTTTATTAATAGCATAATTTTAAAAACATGCTTTTTTTTTGTCACAGCTAGACGTTAACTCACCTTGAGGATCCACCTCCTTGGCAATCTTGAGGGCATCTGAGTTGGCCAGATCAGAGTTGGCAGGAGACACGGCCAGCAACAAGCAGTTCTCCTTAGTCACAAACTGCATTAGCATATCCCTGATCTGGGCCTCAATGTCAGCCGGCTGGTCCCCGACGGGCACTTTGGTCATACCAGGTAAATCCACGAGGGTGAGGTTCAGGACTGATGACATAGAGCGACACATTACATGTGACATCTCACGATGCACGCTTATGTATATCTAACCACATTTAAAAGGATAGTTCACATAAAAATTAAATTGACTCACTAAATACTCAATAGGTCCCAAACATTAATGAGTGTTTAACACAAAAGTAGATCATTTAAAGAAAACTTGTAATGATTGGCATCCATAGTAGGAGGAACAAATGGAAGTCAATGGTTACAGGTTTCCAGCATTTTTTAAAAATATCTTCTTTTGTGTTTAACAGAAATTCGGAAAAGTTTGAAACAAGTAAATGGTGAGTATTTTTCATTTATGGGTGAACTATCGCTTTAAATGTACTTCTTGCTTATATGCATGAATGAAATTACCATTAGGTGAATAGACACGCAGATTGATAGGGACTGGCGAAATGCCTTTGTTTTGGCCGGTGATGCGATCTGTCTCCGCCTCAATCTCCTGGCGGACCTCATCAAAATCTGTAAACTTCTTCCCCTTGCAATGTAAAAACTCAGCATATTCTGTAAATAAGAGAAGCTGTTTTTAGTAAAACTGCCTGTTGACTTTACCTTAAAAACATGCATTTAAAATTCTAAATATTTACAATACTGTAAAGTTTATGGTTGTTGCCATTTTAATTGAATTAAGTTACGTTTGTTAATTTATTTTACTGGCAAGGGTCACAAAATTACAACCTTGATTGTACAAAGTGTTTTGTTAAAGCTTGGAAAACGATGCAGGTATAATCCTAAAAACCATAAACTTTTCTTTACCAGTAGGGCAGTTGATCAGCTGGAGCACTAGGGGGCGCCGAGTGACAATACCAGATCCACGAGGCAGAAAATCCCTGAAAAGAAAAAGTTACAATGGTTTTGTATGGTGGCGAAATATGTCAAAGTGCATTTATAGAATCTATCTCTTTATGTAAGCACTTTTAAATGTAGCAGCATGACCTATTTATTTTTTATTGTTTGATTTGCTTATTTAAACTTAGAATTCAGTCTATACTAAGTTTAAAGCTTCACAAAACACCAAAACACATTTTTTGAGCTGTTGACAGTCGTATATGTGTCCCACGCTGCTAAAAAACACTATTAGGACACATAAATTTCACTAATAAGTGAAAATTGGTTGTTTTTGCGTTATTTCGAGCAAATACTTCCGGTTTGAAACAAATTTTTGAAGCTGCATCATGGCCATGAGATCTTAGCGTGTATTCCAGCATGTAGACTGGACGTCTGAACCTGGGAGTACCTTATTACATCTCTGAGTGTGCTGCATTAATGCATGTGTAAGACTTAGTTCAAACCAATCAGCGCGCTCTATTGTGCAACGCTAGCTTCTAAGACTGTGTCCAGACGACACGTTGTGTTGCCAAAACAAGTGTGAAGTGTTGCTTTTATAATTTGCTGCAGTGAAGGTTTTGTTTTCATTTTCTCTCTATTGGAGCGCAGCTGGAATCACGTGTGGATTACAGTGGACGTGATGCTCGACAACAATAGTCGAGAAACTATGCGCAAAGAACATTGTTTACCCGAGAGCTTTTCTCATTTGGAAATGGTGAGATACGGATTTGCTGCTCGTCTCCTCTTAATAAAGATGCGGCTCTAGTTGCTGTTGATTGTCCTGTGTCTACAGATTTGGTAAGTGAGCGACCAGTGGTCTTTGTTTATTCAGATGGCAAAGTTAGTTTGTATCGAACTAACTATTACACCGAGTGTAAACATGTTAGCACCACAATCAAACTTATCGTCGAGTAGGATTTTAACCGCATTTTGTGACAGGAATAACACACACGGCTTTCTGACGCTACCTCATTCGCCGAGCGGTAACAAACATTGCATGAAAAATACACGCTTAGAGCAGTTCCTCGAATCAAATATCTCGTTTGTCACGAGGGGCATGAATGAAATTCCTGAATAAAAGAGCCAAACTGCAGTTAAAGTCCACCATTTAATAATTTGTCAAGTAATTCGATTACTGGTGTCCATGTAAACAAAGTCACTGTCTTCCTCCCCTGTGTGTGTGTGTGTGTGTGTGTGTGTGTGTGTGTGTGTGTGTGTGTGTGTGTGTGTGTGTGTGTGTGTGTGTGTGTGCGTGTTTTGCCTCTGAAAAACAGTGTGTCCAAACCGACACTCCCATTTTTATGCAAATCTTTTACAGACCATCCCTCTTTTGCTCCTCCGACACTCCCCCTAAACAGAGTTGGACACGCCCACTTTCCTGACTCTTTCGAAAGAAGAGGTGTGAAAAAAAAACCTGCTGAAACAAAGGAGTTTCATGGCCCTATAAACTTAAACTTAGAATTCATGCTACATCGCTATGCTAAATTATCTAACATCATAGATATATACACTAGATATCGCATACGGACCCTGAGCATGTGTCAGTAGCGTGGCCACATTTGTACAGTGCTCTCTGTACAGTCTTTCAACCGCACTAGTCAAGACTAATTGTGATCACAGCATAATACAGTAGCTCATCATGAAAAGTATATACAAAGAGTAAATATACTGGGTACATAACACACTTTTGTAACAGTATGAACATTTTCCATTTAAGCTTCTTTTAGCAATGAAACATTTGGACCCCAGGTTTGTAGAAGAAGTGTGAAAGAGCCCTGCGTGAGCTCTGGCTATTAGGCAGAAGTGCACAGCATTAGTGCCTACGTTAAGAAAGAAAAAAATAACCTGCAGAAATTGCATATCACTCACTTTGCCCACAGCGTACATATTTCCAAGATTAGAATGTTTAAAATAGCCCCTTCACAATGTAATCTCATTTAATTTACAGTAGAAGGAGTAACTAATGTAATTTGTGTAATATTTACAGTGCAGTTCATGTAATTCATATTGACAGTGTTCATGTAATAAAGCAATCAGGATGGTTATGGTCTTATCATAGGAGGCTCTCATATTATCAGCATCTCCTATCAGCCTCTTTGATCCAATGAACCACTTGAACATGTTACATCAATGAGTAGAATAATTAATGATGGGAATGATTTCATGATTAGTAAATAGGGCCAAAGACTGCTTATTTTTAGGACTGTTATGAATTAATAAGTGCTCTAGTTGTTTTTATATCCACATAGCCTATATTTTGCAGGCTACAAGCAAAGATAAACCTATTTACATATACATTTACTATGAGTCGGGATTATTCATTCATTCATTTTCTTTTTGGCTTAGTTCCTTTATTAATCAGAGGTCGCCACAGTGGAATGAACCGCCAACTTATCCTCCACGCCTGAGATGGGATTAAACAAATTTAATTAAAACATTTTTTTTCAAGTATTTATCTATTTATTTATATTTCAAAATACAAAACAAACATGTGAAAAATTATTGCAATAAAATGTTTTAGCGCTGTATAATTCTTCAGATATCGTTTTAAATGTGTATTTATATATTTCTATAAATATTTTATTAAAGCAATATTTATTCCTATAGGGTATAGGCTTCTTCTTTTTATTTATTTTTTTACTATTTTCTGTCACTGTCACCTTGACCCAGCCTGTGCAGATCGATAACGGACTACAAATCTTCTGGTATATGGACTACAAGTTCCAGTCATGCAACACACATACACACACCTGCTCCAAGTCTCTATTGATTACACTCCCAGAGCTGATGCTGCTGTGGACTGATTACACACACATGTATACGGCTGACTTTGACACTCTCATTGCTGAGTCTTGTTTTAAAGTTTTGTGATGTGGTTGCCTTGCCTTGCCTTGCCGTGCCGTGTTTTTGACCCTCGCCTTGTTTGTTAATGTTGTCTTCTGCCTGCCTGTACTGACCTGTTGCCTGTGTTTTTGACTACAACTCCAGATTTACCTGCATACATCTGTTTGCTCCTGTTGTGACCGTTGCTTGCCTTACCCTTCTAATGAATCTGCGTTTGGATCCGCATTTCTGTTAACAGCGTCTGCTACATCACAACTTTCAATATGTTTTCAAATGTTGTGTCATGTTATCATCAACAAAAATCACCAGTTTTTTTTTTTTTTTTCCTTTTGGTCAAGATTATTTGATGAAGGTAAGAGTTTCAAAAGAATTTTAATTATATAAAAATATATGATTTATAATATAATTTGTTTCGTAATAATGTAAAGCATTTGCTGTAACTGGCAATAATGTACAATTATTATTAATTAAATAGAAATAAAAATCTTACAGGCCACAAACACTTCAATGCTACAGTATACTTGCATGTGTTTGTATTTATTTATCGCAATACATTTTAATGTATTGTTTTTATGAATAACCATAAATTGACAATGCATTCATATTTTTATTTATGTTATATATATATTTATATATGTATTTATTTATTTATTTATGTATTTATTTATTTATTTATTTATTTATTTATTTATTTATTTATTATCATTATTTATTTATTTTTACCTCTCAAAGTTTCTAATGTTCATTTATTAATTTTCCATCAGCTTAGTCCCTTATTTATCAGGGGTCGCCACAGTGGAATGAACCAACTATTACGGTTTATGTTTCACGCAGCAGATGCTCTTCCAGCTACAACCTAGTACTGTGAAACACCCATACACACTAATTCACACACACACTCATACACTTTTGCCAACTTTGTTAATGAAATTCACATATACCGCATGTCTTAGAACTGTGGAGAAAACCGGAGCACCTGAAGGAAACCCACATAAACATGGGGAGAACATGCAAACTCCAGACATGTCAACTGACCAAGGCGGGACTCGAAACAAGGATCTTGCTGTGAGGCAACAGTGCTAACCACTGATCCACCGTGCTGCCATTTGTAATGTTGTTGATATCTATTTGGTTCAAGGCTTAGAACGCTTTACTGATTATATTTTTATATCTAGAAAAAAAAAAATAAATAAATAAATAAGGAACAATAATAGGAGTGCATTGTAGCGCTCTAATTAAAAACCGATTAAAACCAAACATTTACAAAGACTCATGAGCTTAATGCTGCATTTACTGACACACACACACACACAAAACAGTGTGTTATCTGCTCTTACAGGCTGTTTAATGACATTCATACAGCAGCTGTGACATCCCGCTGCTTTCTGCCGGACTACACCATCATGCAATTAATTGTAACGTCATCATGGTAATAGGCCACATCAGCATGTGCCTCAGTTTTAAAGGCCACGTCTCATTCATTATGGCACCTGTCTGATAAATTGCACCATAAGTGTCCCTGGATGAGCTTCGGGTTCATTCATCTGTATGATATGCCGAAAATGATTCATAACAGGACTAAGAACATAACAGAGTTCATAACAGAGAACGGTTTGGCTGTGCGGACATGAAACACTCGCTCACATTCCTTTGGGTTATCCCCTCTCCTTTATCAGGTGTTGCCACGGAGGAATGAACCACCAATTACTCTGGAAAATGTTTCACAAAGTGGACGCCCTTCCAGTTGTAACCCAGCATTTACAACCCTCAGTGCTGAGAAACAGTGTGTGTAAGGAAATTTTCAAATTATGTCTAATAATATTTTTTCTTCTGGAGAAAGTCTTATTTTGTTTTTATTTCAACCAGAATAAAAGCAGTTTATAATTTTTTTAAACACCATTTTAGGGACAAAATTATTAGCCCCTTTAAGCTATATTTTTTCTCGATAATGTACAGAACAAATCACTGTTATACAATAACTTGCCTAATTACCCTAACCTGCCTAGTTAACCTAATTAACCTAGGTAAGCCTTTAAATGTCACTTTAAGCTGTATAGAAGTGTCTTGAAAAATGTCTAGTAAAACATTATTTACTTTCATCATGGCAAAGAGAAAATAAATCAGTTATTAAAATTGAGTCGCCTCACATTAAGGTCGC